CCCGCCCCCGCCACGAGGAAGACTCTCCCGCCAACAAGCTGAGCAGCGCCACCTTGTGGCCGCCTGAAGCGCTGCGCTGCTCCGTGCCCCCAGTACTCACATCGCTGGGGCTCAGGCCCCCGAGCCCACTGTCCTGCTCCGAGTCACGGCTGGACTCGTGGCCCTGGCCGGAGCGGGGGTGGGAGGGGTGGATCCAGAGCTCCAGGCGGGTGGCGTCGTCGCCCGAGGGCCGGAAGGCTGGCCTCTTGCTTCGCCTGCGCTGGCCGGGGCTCTTCTGCTCCAGCTGCTCCGCCTGTGCGGGGAGGAGAGGCCGTGAGGACCGCGGGGAGGGCAGAGATGGAGAAAGGCCTGACCGGCCCCCCCGTACCTTCCGCTTGGTCTCCTCGAAGAGGCTTGCCAGACTCTCCTTGGCGGTGAGGATGGGGTTGCTGGCGGCCAGGCTGCGCATGTAGTAGTAGACAGCATCCAGCTTCCGCCTCTGCGGAGAGAGCCAGACACACGGCATCAGGCCGGCACCCCGAGGCTGGCCCGAGCCCCAGTCCGCCACCCCGCCTGCAAGAAGGGAAGGGGACAGCAAGCCACGGGGGGCGACGGAGGCTTCCGCCAAGCCTTCCGCTGAGGCCCTGGAAAAGAAGAATGAGCCTGGCGCAATGCAGGGTCGGCCTGGGGTCCGGATGTAACTGGCACCCGACACCCTCTACATTTGCGCAGACCATCCCCACCTACAGCGGCTCAAGTAGCGCACGCCTCCCCCGGCACGAGTCGGTGGCAGGCCAGCCGTGCCCAAGCCCCGGGGCTCGCTGGGGCCTCACTCTCACCGTGTAGACAGCCAGGAGAGCCAACTGGTTGTATGGGCGGCCGTTCTTGGGGGCGATGTGCTGGGCCTTCAGGTACCAGCTGGGGAAAGAAGAGACCCAAGTGAGCGACCGGCCGGAGCCGCGGAAGAGCCGTGCCAGAGGGGCACCTGCTGACCGCGAGTTCTGCCAGACTGCTCTGGGGAAGGGGCGAAATTGAAGTGAGAGGGGTCCGTCCGTCACAAGGGCTGCCTAAGGCCCGGGGTCCGCGCAGCTTGTGCTCCTCAATGGCAGGAAGGCTTTCCGAGGCCTCAGCCCTTCGCTGGCTTTTGGCGGGCGTTCCTCCAGGAGGACTCTCGCTGGCAGACCCGACTGCCCAGAAAGAATCGCCCCTTGGGGTTTAGGCAGAGCTGAACCCTCCCCTCCTGCCTCCTTTGCCCAGAGGTCGCGCTCGAGGCCTTCCTCCTGCACAGCACGGCCTCTGCCTTCCCTCTGGCGGTCGACACGCGAACCAGAACTACGCTCGTTCGGGAAGGGACAGCCTGAAACGGAAGCCAAGCTGGACAGAGGTGGTGCTTGTATGCTACGGCTCCCTGGCAGGGCTGGCGCTTCCTAAGACATCAGGTTTAGGGAGCGGGAGCGCGAAGGGTTCGTAAAGCGGCACCCAGCCTTTGCCCCCCTCCACCAGTTCTTGCGCTCGTTGGGAAGAGGCGCTGCCTCAGCGTGTTGCACCCTCCATGGCTGCTGGGCACCTGCAGGCCAAGCGCCAAGCTCCGCTCTTAAGAAACGCTGCCACTGACCGCTCAAGCCGAGCGGGCTGCTTACTGTGGCTTGTGCTCTCGGCAGCTGACCGCCAGCCCTCTTGCGTGCCTGCAGCTGTTGCACTCGCCCAGACGTCACTTCCCGCTTCCTCGCCCGCTTGCCGCGGCTCCTCTCCTCCCGCTCCCCCCCCGCGCCCCCCGGCTTTCCCTTCTCTAGGCCAAGGGTGTGGGCGGGGTGAGGGGCGTGCT